ACATTCTCCACGCATCTCGCCTCTGGAGCTAGAAAGTTGCCTCAACAAAACTTGATAGACAAGACTGTTCAAAAAGTGCTACTGACACTTTGAAGAGTTCAGACAGTACAAAACCAGAAATAATCACAAAAAATGTCTGCCTTCAGAGAATACGCTGTGTTCCTGTCCCTCACATACACCTTTCTTCAGGTAATCCTTAGGAATATACTGGAAAAGAAAAAGACCCTCTGTACAAAGCAGTCCCTCAACAGGAAAACAGATTACATTTTAGCTGTACACAGTGATGAAACAGAGGAAGATATGCACATGGTACTAAACCCAGAAACACACATTTATCTAAAAACATTCCTTAAAATACAAAATTCTAGAAAATCTGAGCATGAATTTATGATGTAGAACTTTGTCACAGGTTCAACTTCTTGCATTTAAAAATGAAAGACTAAAAGTTACTGCAGAGGAGTATCCTGAGGATAGGATAGTGAACTAATGTCTAAAAAAATACGCAGACTTTTCTACAAAGTATTGTTCATTTACGACTTCTCTTCCTCCCCCTTTCTTTTTAAGCAGAAGTCTAGAAAAAAATTCACATGTACTTAAAAATAAATAAAAAAATCAGTCCTTCAGAATAAGATGATTCTGTGTTTCTCCCCTTAGGCTTTTCTCTTTTTAAAAGGATAACATCTATTTTTATAACCGTTTAGCAGGCCAAACATTTCACTGAAGTTGTACTGCACTAGGAAAAGCTCCATCTACTGTTTCCTAGTGTAAGCCAAACGTCTACAAACCACCTGGAGTAAAGGCAGTGACTGCTTATTGGCAGCCTTGTGACCAACTGCGCCGCGCGATGCCCGGGGGAATGTGTACAGTGGTTTGCAGTCAGTCTCACAAAAGAAAAGGCTCTAATAAGTTTGGTGGGATTCCTGCTGAGCCACTGCACTTGTAACCCTGCAGTAAAACCACACTCAGAAGTACAGAATTAACTGCTTTCTCATGATAGAAAACTAATAAGGGAGTGCTTATTGAGTAAATTAACAAACGAAGAGGCAAGACAGTGTTCGAGTGTGTCATTTTCAACTCATTTTATAAGGATGTATTCTACGAAATTAATTTGAAGCAAATATGTACCTGGCTTGCTTCAGACCTTTGCCAGATCTCTCTGTACTAACACCTGAACTCAGAATGATGCTCATTTTCAGGATTTCACCTTCTCTTCCTTTACAGAATTAAGCAACCACTTTTACACCCCCCAAAACATCGATCCAGGTTTCATGACAGTTAATTGTACAGCTAACGTTTTTTAAAAAGCCCTAGGACTCTGCTTTTGGTTATGCAATGAGTTTTCTTTGTAAATAAGACCAAAATATTTGCGTTTTTCCAGCTTCTTGAAAAACAGTGCTTTTCTAGAAGATTGGAGGAACCCTGGAAGTCCAGCACTAAGCTGGCACAGCCCCAGCACTATCTTGTCTTAGTGACCACACACAATTTCTGCTGCCTTCAGGAGGTAGTGCCAGAAGTGAGTAACTTTCTAAGTGAGATGTTTTTCATTTTAAAGAAAGAACAGGATGGGTAACTTCAAGCAACTACATTGAATATTAATAACCTATTTGACAACGTAGCTTTTTTTTTTTTAAAGTATATTTACTCTTAAACGTCCCTCTCCTGAAAAAATAAGAAGTGTGTCCTCAACTTAGAATCACAGAATAGTTAGGGTTGGAAGGGACCTTTAAAGATCTCCTAGTCCAACCCCTCTACCATGAGCAGAGAGAACTTCAACTAGACCAGGTCACTCAGAGCTGCGTCCAACCTGACCTTAACCTTAACTATTTCCAGGGATGGCACATCTATCATCCTCTGAGCAACCTGTCCCAGTGTTTCACTACCCTCATTATAAAAAAGTTCTTCCTTGTATCTAGTCTGAATCCACCCTCTTTTAATTTTAAACCCTTACCCTTTGTTCTATCACAACAGACCTTCCTAGAAGTGTGTCCCTATCTTTCTTACAAGCCCCCATTTAAGTACTGAAAGGCCACAATAAGGTCTTCCTGGAGCCTTCTCTTCTGCAGGCTGAACAACCCCAACTCTCTTAGCCTGTCCTCATAGGAGAGATGCTCCAGCCTTCTGATCATCTTCATGGCCCTTCTCTGGACTCGCTCCAACAAGTTCATGTCCTTCTTATGCTGGGGGCCCCAGAGCTGTACATAGTACTCCAGGTGAGGTTGCACCAGAGCAGAAGGGCAGAATCACCTCCCTCGAGCTGCTGGCCACACTTCTTCTGATGCAGGCCTGGATACAGTTGGCCTTCTGGGCTACAAGCACACACTATCAGCTCACGTCCATCTTTTCATCCACCAGTACCCCCAAGTACTTCTTGAAAGGGCTGCTCTCGATCCCTTCATCTTGCCTGTATTGATACTGGGGCTTGCCCCAACCAAGGTACAAGACCTTGCACCTGGACTTGTTGAAATTCATGAGGTTGACACAGGCCCACTTCTTGAGCTTGTCCAGGTCCCTCTGGATGGCATCCCGTCCCTCAGGCATGTCAACCTCACCACTCAGCTTTGCATCTTCTGCAAATGTGCTGAGGGTACACCTAGTCTCACTACGCCATTTATGAAGATATTAAACAACAGTGGTCCCAATACTGACCCTAAGGGACACTACTTGTCACCCACCTCCGTCTGTACATTGAGCGACTGAACTACCAAAGGAGTAAGTAGAAACTGGAGGTACTTCACACCAATTATTACAAGGGACTTAAAATCCTGGATTGTACCCTGTGGGATTTAATTTACCTTAGCTATGTCTATAAAAGTTATGCAAATGAAGAGTTTTTAAATCATACTCTTACAATTTTTTAATCATTTTTTATTTTTTAAAGATGCTAGATACTTGAAAGCTGCTATCAAAAAACTTAAATCAAAGATAGATGGGCATTCCTATCAGGCTGAATATATCCTTTCCTCTCTGCTGTAAAAAACATGCAATTCCAACATTCAGAATGATGAAACCACAAGTTCTAAAGGAAAGACTCTGCTCAGATCTATTTTACATCAGTAACAAAACTCTCACCAGCGCTCATAGATTTCAAGTGGCAGTGGAGACAAAAGCTCAGTGTGAATGAGTTCCTGGACCTTTCAACATTTAACAAGAAAACAGGAAACCCAACATCACCATACACTCTGGCATTACACAGTAGCATGATGGTGGTTTAGGCCCAAGGTGGCATAAATTTGGCTGGTCTTTATAGAATTCTTACCCTATGGTAACTTAACATTGTTTTGTAATTTAGGGGCTCAACAGACTGAAAACAGAAATATTTTTAATCATGAAAGTAGGACAAAAATCACTTATAGCCTACAGTAAGAACCAATGAGAATTTTACAGAAGATGCTGTACTTTAGCATCTTGAATACCAATCATGAAGTGCTGTGAACCATGAAAAAAACAATGGCAAGGAGTGTCAAACCATTATTCAGATGAAGCTCTCAATGTATTTAAATTAGAACATTTAAGCTCCATTTAGCAGTCTGGGCATTTTACAGCACAGATCACACTTCAGTTGCTAATGCTGTTGTGAAGATTCATTTCTGTTTATTATGGAGACACTTTATATAGGTGGCTTAAATGTTAGCACATACCCACAGTTCACCCCAGGAGAGATTGCAGCTCATGCAGCAACTCCAGTACAGCTTTTATAACCAGTTAAGCACTGGAACAGCACAAGTCAGTACTGTCCAGTTTGTGGAGCTGCAGTAGTGTTGGGAAAAAATATCAGACTTAAAAAACAGAATGAGAACTGGAAGCAGCATCTACGCAGCATGTAACATTAAGTGATGCAGAGATGGAACATCTTGGAAAAAGCTGGTACAGCAAATATCTCTCTGAAATCTTACTGAGACTGATTTCATTGCACTAAGCTTAGTCCCAAGCACAGACAAAATTCCACTGGTCAAACCCGTTTCCACCAGTTTCTGCTATACCTGCTTTTTGCAGGTTGAATTGACAGCTCCTTTCTACATTAGTAATTAGGTTCAGATGAGCAGTACAATTTTGAAACAAATCAACTGATCGGTCCCACTTACTGAGCACTGGTTAAATTCAGAGAGTTATTTTAGTGAATGTGAACTGGATTCCTCCAAAAGACATATAAACCGGTTCCATGCGCCACCACAGCTACCCACCAGCTACACTTCAATTCCTAGTGGGGACGTAAAGATTGTCCTTTGCACAGCTCCAAACCACACACAGAGGAGGGATGTTTGGATCTAGGGACCTGGTTAAACATAATGCAATGGAAAATCCCGAGCCAAATACGCTGCTGATGCACAAACTGCTGTGACCTACTGAGCCATTCCCTCTGAGCCACATTACTTGCTGTTGCACACGCTGCCCACAGGCCCTGGCATGCCACCTTAGAGCTCCTTCCAGCTCCCTCCTATGAAATAGCCTGAACAGCACCAAAAAAGTCACATAAAAGAATCTCCATAGAAGATTTCCTTCTGCAAGAATTCTTCATCAATAGAAATTCTTGCTCCTTCAAAATTGTATCAATTTCAGTTCTACAGAACCAAAGATTTATATAAAACACCTCTTCACAAATGCTAAGAATTTCCTGTCAAAAAAACCTGTATAAATATTGGACAGTAAGCATGTGAATTTATGTGACAAATACAGTACTCCAAATTTTCCAGTCTGTAAGTCAGTCACCAGCAGAGGTGAAAACAGGAAACTGTATGCACGTTTGTTGTTTAAGAAGAATGCATTTCATCTTCTAGCAGGTCATTGTGGAAGCAGATCTACATTAATTAGAATCATGTTTTTACACAGTTCATTGCACTAAGAAAAGCAAAGAGAAATCCAAGGTAATTTTCTGCAGTCTTACCTCAACTTTATCTTTAGATTAATTATGTAGTGTGACAAAAAACATATCAGAAAATGAAATATGAAGTGGCAAAAAAGCAAGAAACTCATAGAAGTATTACAACATGGTTCTGACTTACCTATGTGATAAAGTCCTATCCAGTCAGTTGGGTCTACTTCTTCCTTAATATCCCAGAAAATGATGAGGTTCTGAGATTGCCCCAAGGTGTATTCGTACATACTGGCTGTCAAACTAGACCTGCTATCCGAGGTCACTAAATCAGTGTCACTGTTGGCACGCTGCAAGTTCATATTCTCAGCCATGGTGCCCTGAGATGCCAAACTCTGCAGATTCTCTGGGCTCAGAGTATACCGTAGCTGTGGGTTGCGACGTCGCACAAAAAGCAGATGTTCCCGGGCTGAACTGGCCATCTCTTCCCCACTTTTGTCAATTTACGTGAAAAAGTTGTTGTTTGAAGACCTATCATGAAGAAGAAAAAAAACCAAAATGTTAAAATGGCATAGCAGGTTACCCAGTCAAATATTAAATGGAGAGGCAGTAGTACAATAATGTTCCTATAGAAGACTAAAATGGACCGAGTAAAATCTTTCACTGCATTGTTCTGCCACTGCAGCCATCTTAGTCTCTGTATGTTTAAAAAAGTAACATGAAGCACTTCTGAAAAAAAATTCAGTTAACCACACTCCATGAAATAACATTTATAAGCCAGAAAGCAACAGAAAGCAAAACATCCAAGTTCATCTATCAAGCAAGATCAGCCACAGTAACAAAGCTAATTTAAGTCTGACAGTAGCCTAAAAAGTGAAGAGAGATGAACTCGTCTTCCACCAACGAAATCACAGCAGCATATGATGTACTTTCACTTACATATTTTAGCTGCCAACATACTTCCTATGCACTGTATGTTCAGAATCAGTATGGTGTTGAAGAATTGTAGAATCATAAACTGTTTGGGTTGGAAGGGACCTTAAAGATCATCGAGTTCCAACCCACTGCCATGGGCAGGGGCACCTCGCACTAGACCAGGCTGCCCAAAGCCCCATCCAGCCTGGCCTTGAACACCTCCAGGGATGGGGCATCCACAGCTTCTCTGGGCAACTTGTTCCAGTGTCTCACCACCCTCACAGCAAAGTATTTCTTCCTAATATCTAATCTAAATCTCCCCTCTTTCAGTTTAAAACCACTACCCCTTGTCCCATCACTACACTCCCTGATAAGGAGTCCCTCCCCATCTCTCCCGTAGGCCCCCTTTAAGTACTGGAAGGCCGTTATAAAGTCTCTCTGGAACCTCCTCTTCTCCAGGCTGAACAACCCCAACTCTCTCAGCCTCTCTCCACAGGAGAGTGCTCCAGCCCCTTGATCGTCTTCTCTGATAAGAAGGTTGGAAATATTTCAGTAGAAATGTGCTATCACAGATTTATGCTACTATGATCTGATAAGAAGGTTGGAAATATTTCAGTAGAAATGTGCTATCACAGATTTATCCTACTATGAAATAATTTTGTAAGGATTTTAATTTTTAAGATATAAAGCATAGCTTCTGAGATGCTCTATACCATACAAGAACATGACAGACCATTTACTGGGGTAAGTTTAGACCACAGATACATATATTCAATTAGACCACACCAGTTCATCTGTACAGTCAGATTTTGTTGTTCTTTTCCACACATCAGAAAACCAAGGACTTTGTTAAATTTAACAACTTTTCTCTAGCCCTGAGGAGACACTAGAAAGTCTTCACAGAAACGGTCATGCCAATACCATCACACAATACCTTCAGAAGCAGAACTTGCATCTCATTATCCATTGCTACTAAAAGTACCATCGTTTGAAAATAAGCCCTCACATTACTCGCAACTTGAGATAAATCATCAGAAAGGAAAGACAAGAATAGCAAAATATTAAAACAGGGAATAGCTTATAGGAGCATAGAATCAGGGATGGGGAACCTCCTGCCATGGAAGGAATATGAAAGTTTCCTTATCTAAGCTAAGTGACTTTGACCAAAGCTGTCTTTTTCAAAAGGTATTGTTTATATCAACTCATTGTTGCTTTATTTTACAGAGGAAATAAACCAGTCCTCATCTGGTAGAAACATTTCTGTTCAGAAGAAACTGAATTTTCTGGTAATGTGTTTTTCAGTCAAAACCGTGAAAGTGATCTTCCACAGCATATTCACCTGGAATAGGAACCGTGTATTTCCACCAAAATCAAACCAAACCAAAGCAGTCCTCCTGCCCAGTAGTACCTCCAGAGCTCATCAGGAAGAAATTGTGTCCCAGGCTCCTTACACTCTTCATACAATTTGAAAATAGCATTTCAACATTTCTTACCAGATTGCAACTTAATCAGTGACAACATCAATTATTCCAGTACAGTATCTTCTGTGAGGGCTCTACAATGCAGGAAAGGTCTTCTTATTTCTACATATACTAATAACCACATATAAGAAAAACATGTACACGTATACTTATAAAAAAAGGTAAACAAGAGGTACCTGTGTATTATTCTTGGGCTTTCTTCTTAGTGTCAAAGCCTTTGGCTATCATACGCAGACACATTGGTTCTCTAAAAATAATCCAAGCATTGTCAGACAGTGCTGAGTGTCACCTGCTATAACGTTTCTTGTTTCAAGCGAGGAAGGCTGTAATGCAGAATTACGTAGACCCCACGAGAAGCAAATGGATTGGTTGGCGACTTCCACAGCATTATAATTGCAATTAGATCTACAGTACACTACCACTATCAATCAAATGTTTGACAACTGGCTTACTAAACAGAAACCTCTGACTCTAGAGGTCAAAGACATTTAATTATTAAAAAGAAAAAACAAGTAGAGCACTTGGAGTTCCCAAGACTGTGATTAAAAAAAATTCATTAAAAAGGGGCATTTTCATATTTTGAAGGTTTTCTTTTCCTATTCATTCTTATTTCCCCACATGATGAGTGGTTGAAGTGAGATGATCTTTAAGGTTGGAGTGAGATGATCTTTAAGGTCCCTTCCAACCCAAACCCAAACCATTCTATCAATCTTCAAAAACTGCCTCTTCCCTTCATGTCTACTTCCTATCACTCATCTTCAATTTTCTTTTTAACAACATTACAGTGTATGCACTCTTCCAGTCTATCACAAATTCTTCTGCTATTTTTCAGCTTTTCTTAAATGTGAGACGTTTTAAAATATTAAGAACTAACAAAGGCGGGAAATAAAGTTCAACTCATCCACTTGTACGCAACGCATCACACACTGTACATGGTTCAGTGTCAAGTATCACAGAAAAAGAAAGAAACAAAAATCCAGTTTGATAATTTCACATATATGGAAGTGACATGGCGATTATCATATTTACTTCACAAAGTACGCAACACAGTCTTTCCTGACATGAGCAATGTTTTGGCTGCATACACAAAACATTTTATTTTTGGTGCTGGACGTCAGCGGGGTTCACTAACTTCTCTGTTGTGTTCCCACACACTCTGCCTCTGACACCAGCATCAGTGACAAAAGGGAAACTTTGGTATAAAAGGCCTTTTTAAATGACAGTCAGGGAAGTTAGTGTGTTGTTTCTCTATGCAGAGTATTATTTGCTAGATCTGAAAATGGATGACTTTGAGACCAGAAGGGTAAGTAAGAAATAGCCATCAACTTCCACACAAGCCAGTGAAACATGCAGGGATCAGCCAGTCACTGCAATCTCTCACCTCTTTTTTTGGGACCTTTTCTTTTTTACTTTGTGGTCTGGGCAACAGCACACACTAATAGTTAAGTCTTCCATGTCAAAGCGAAAGAGCTGTGCCCCCTAGGCAGGAAGAGCCCTGATTTGCACCTGAGCCTGCCCAGGGCAGCAAGCACATCACACCTGCCTGGGTACCACTGCCCGCTGCACTAGGAGATGAGGAGAGGTTAATGAACACACTGACAGCCTGCTATCCAGTTAATTTTCTTCTGTCCCTCAGCTAGAGATTGATGTACTTTTGAACTATTGCATACAGTGGTTTTACAGCAGTAAAATCAGTGCAAATTAAGTGCCATACAGGAGGATTACAAGTTAAAAGTTTTTAGAGGAGGGATGAAAAAATTTCCTTCAGCTGCAGAGCCACACACTGTACCCCGGGCAGCACTGGCATTTGTTGGAACATATTGAAAATTTATATGTGGCAGATGGACAAACTCATCCATGTTTAAGGACACATGAGAACTAACTTGTACTAGCTAGGACTATCCCACAGTTTGAGATATGAGAACAGCCTGAGAAAAAATGTCCGTTTTCTTAAGTCCTAATTGTTGTCACTCTGGTGAATCACGGACATCATTACAGCTTCTTAAAGTAAAGTAGAACACAAATGTAAATGCTGGATAACTTATCTGATCCTACTCAGAAATCCAGCTGTCTTAAAGTAAGATTTAAACAATGATCCCAACAAATGAGATAACTTAAAGCAACTGAAATAAATTTGCAATGAACATGTTAAACTCACATGTAAATGAGCTCCTATTATGGAAAAAAATACCTGCAAAAATTCAGAACTTGAACACTTTTAAAATATTTGCTAAATTCAGTGAAATAAGTGGCAAAGCAGCCCTGGTGTCAGACAGTACTCTGCTACGTAGCGTCTCACAGGAAGTTGGGAGATTAAGGAGGTTTTTAAAGAGAGAAATCTGACTCTCATACTGTAAAAAGGGAAAAGGCGATTACCATAAAACTTGAACTATGAGGAGTAATGGAAGGGAAAAAAGAGCCACTACTTTAATTACCTGCAGTCTGAAAATTCTGTCTGAAGATGGGATGAAAACCTTACACAGTGACTTCCTGCCTACAAAAGGAATTGCTTATCTGGCATTTGGTTAACAATTCCTGATATCTGTCATTAATAACATAACTAACAGTACGAACACGTACATCCTACCAGAAACTGAAAATAAGAATTATCCTCCCACCTTCAATTCCTGCTAAACGCCACTGACACAGCATTTGTACCCAGACTGTACTGTAAAGACAATACCCACAATTAGCTGTGTGCACCTTCCCTGCCGTGACGGTTGGGCTAATCAGGCTGAATGGGATCAGAGCAGTGATTTCACTAAGAATCAGACCAAGCTGGCAAGGAATATTGTTTCCTGAAGGCAAGCTAAAATGTGGAAACTGAATCAAAAGCACAGGGAAAATATAGACGTTTGAGAAATCAGCAGATACTAACTTTAGCAAAGTATTTTAGTTAAAAAGTGAAACCTGTACCTAAGCTGCTTATCCGTATCACAGCGTTCTCTTCAATACTTGACAAGAAGCTTAGAGAGAAATAGGACTGATTCCCTCTTAATCTCTAAGTGGCACAAGGTCAGGATTATTTCTATCTAAATATACTCCTCAATTACTCATCATAGAGGGACCAGAACTGGGAAAAAAGTTCCACTTAATATAC